CCACCAAGAAGATTTTGGAGTAATATTATTGTTGAAGCATTCCTTCTCTGGGTGGGATAAGTCCATCACTATCTGCTAGATAAGTCCATCACCATCTGCTAGGTTTGAACTATTCTTGCAAACAATTGGGGGAAGGTTTAATTTTTGGTAGAATTTAGCTCCTTCCTTTAAAAACAAAATTGCTTTTTCTCCCCATGTTTGGACCGGAGCTGGAGCTGATCAAAATAATCTAGATATAGAGAGTACAGCAATTCAATATTTACTCCTGTCTGAGGGCTTCCAGGAAGATCTTGATATGGCCATTTATCGCAGTAAGCAGGATTTGGGGAAGAAATATAATCTTTCAGGATGGGTATGTTAGGAAACTTCTTTCTTCATCTCACTTGGGTTTGGATAGAATTGGTTTCTGTGGATGCAAGGCTGTGCAGCAAAGAGTTGACTATCGACCAATCTGGGGGAAGACCAAAGTCACTTTAATCCAATCTTACCTAGTCAATACAACCTTATTTCAGTACCTTACTATCTTTACTAAATTCATCCATTGTAACATTATGTTGCATTCCTATCATGAAAACATTAAATTCTCTTAAAACCCTGCATTGGGCCTAATTCTTGTGACCCACTAACCATGATCATTAATAAGCATGTTGTCCTCATAAAATATTCATATTGTTCCCTTCTATCATAAATATAGTTCTATTGTGAATTCAACTATATAAAATCTGTCAGCTAAAATTCATTATTTTTTACAGTGATAACCAGAAAACTGTGACATATGAAGACGACATTAAAGTAATATTGAACTGTATTTGATGTTTCAACAAAGCAAATAGCCGAACTAGTAAGTTATTAAGTCACTTATTACTGAAATGGATCTGTTGACATAGCACAATTGCTAGCTGTGCCTCTTGCTGTGCCTCATTGAACTATCTAGTCATAAATTGAGTTTAAAAGTCGACTTCCTATTCTATAGTTTTCAGGTTATCACTGTACAAGCAGGCTACATTCTTTATTAGTCATCAAATAGTCCCATATGGTATTGAGAAACCTGTCGGTTTTGTAAACTTGTAGCATATAGGGGACATAGTGGCTTTTATGCTGAAATTTTACAATAGGGTGCAAAGTTCACTTAAGAATGGCGTATAATTATGGTTCTGAAGTCAAAACTTGTGCTGAAAATGTTTATCAACAAATTTACAAGTGTCCACATCAAATATCAAGATCTAAATTTCAAAAAAATGATACTCTGCACAAAAGTTCCAACCTCAGACCATTATTTCGTTAATCCAGATCATGATAAACTTATATCAGGCTTGAAAACTTCAGCCCAAGTACTTAAACTGAATACATTTTTTTTTCTTTCATTTAGAAAATTGATCAGTGTTTCAAAATATATATTTTAATCAATTTTCACTAATTTCTATTTTGTCATCCCATAAATTCACTAGATGGAAACACACAATTAAAATTTTCAGTGATGCGTACAACTATAGTTTAATGATAGAATTTTGTAGAAGCATTTTAAATAGACCATAGTCTCAAACATTACTAAAGAATTAAAATTAAAATACTTATTTACGAAAATTTTGATTTATGACCTCTGTAATAGTTAGGGTCCAGACAAATTAAACCATGTCAAATAGAGAACATGTTAAACACTGAATTAGCATTTGAACTACAGTCTCTATTCTTGATGAATTGGTGTGGGGCTGGGGGGGAGGCTAGGATGTGTCTATTTGAAAGCTTTTCCTTAAAACATCCTTAGTATATATGTCACAGGACAACTAAAACAAACAACCATTTAAGCATCAATTCCATCAAAATCAAACTAAATTTAAAATAAATCTACATTCAAATAAACGAATATCCAAAATTATCAAATGTGTAAAAGATAGTTTTAACTTCTGATACTGATACATCAAGGTCCTCAGTATTAGAAGTTAAAATAGTTCACTAACTTTAAACCAGGCGTAGGCCGTATAAGGGATTCATATTACTTTAAATTTGATTTTATACAAGTGTTGCTCTCATGACTCGATTTGAAAATATTAAAGTTACTGAATTGACTGAAGACAATGGAGGATTAGGGCTGGGCGTGTTCCTGGTGGAACGATCGTTCTTTTGAGGAAATTTTATTAAAAAATCGTAATTTTTTTACTTTTTAACCAACTCTTTTCTATAAAACTTTTGTCTTGGATGTAATTGTTTGTTACTAAGAACCGAACGGGGGATGGAAACTTTCTTGATTAAGAACAGAACAAGAGGAATGCAACCGTTCTTCAACTAAGAACGCCAAGAATGGAACGGAACGGGAAGACTGTTCTTCTACTCAGAACGGGACGGAATAGAACAAGAACAGAACGATAAAAAAAGAAAAAAGAGGAACGAGAACGGAATGATTTAGCTGAAGGCCCTCGTTCTAGAACGGAACGGAACAATTTCAAAAAAGTCGGAACGTGCCCAGCCCTATGGAGGATCCGTCCAAGAACGACGAAAGAGAAGAAACTTACCTTAACAGACTGTACAGGTTGAGACGAGGCCAAGCTTGTGCCCATTCTAATCATTCTGATTCACGATTCACGAATAACAAAAAAGGCTGAAAATTTTCCCTGAGTAAATCTCTGCTCTTTTTGCTAGCAACTAGCAATTTAAAATGGCTGCCAAAGCCGATACTAGCGCTGTCTGATCCCCTAGCGGTTAGTTGAATTTGCAAGGCGCCAAATTCAAATAACTCAGAGATAAAGTTCATAATATCTACTTTCTAAAATTAATTCAAGAGATTGAGGAAATGCTGCTGCTTTAACTTTATCACAAGACCTCTAAATTATATGACTTTCCCTTATCTACATCATATCATCCTTGGGAACCATGCATACCACTAACATTTCCCTAAAAGGAGCTGGTTCATTTGGTGTACTGTTCCGGTTTGCCTGGTATAATCTGTATGTGTACTGTACAGCTTTCTCTACCTGGTAAGGTAACCACCAAAAAAGTTCTTTGAAAAATAATTTACAAAAAAATGTCCTAAAAAAGCCTTGTGTAAAAAAGTTCTAGAAATAAAAGTTCTGTGGAAATAAAGCCTTATTATTTTGAGACTTTATTTTCTAGGCCTTTTTTCTGGTTACCTTATGGCAAAATTACTAACCTAAAAAGCATATATTTCACTGATCCAGGAGGGGGATGAGCCCCCTGAGCCTCCATGAATACGCCTCTGGATAATAACATAGATGTGTTTAAAAAATTTACAAACATACTGAGCGTCCCATATCATATTAGATTATCTCCAATCTTTAATACCTAAATATACGCACATAATACTCGAAAAATCTAGCCTTTTCTGCAAAAAATAAATTTTATTAGCCTTATTAAATTTTTCAAAATGATTCATTCTTTTTAAATTTTCTGATTTGTCCCCCAAATCGTAATTTAGACCCATTGACGCGGTCTAATTTGATGTGGGACACCCTGTATTTCGGAATGGAGTGAGATTTCGAACAAAACTAAGCAGTTTTAAAGTGATCACGCTCACAAACCTCAGAGATGAGATTTTAAAAGCTTAAAACCGACTAAAACCCAAACTCGGGCTTAGATAGAACCCAAGTCATGGGATTGGTTCTGATTCGACCAATGAGAGACTGTTTTGCAAGCTTTCTCTCTGTAGCAGACATAAGGCCGTCAGATCAGCTGTGACAAGGAGATGTAACTTTCGAAAGTTCAAACTTTATGTAGATACATTATTTTCATAATATGTTTATTTTACATAATTAAGAAAATTTGACACCACAAATAATTTCCGAGATTTTAAATGTACAAATATAAAAGATATTACGAAATTTACGATCATCAACTGCTGAAGACTCTCGCCTTAAAGAGAGAAAACCCCAAGATGGTTGGTTCTTACTAAACTCAAGGCCATCCAAAACCTGGGTCTTGACTTGAGCTTTACTTGGGTCTAAGCAGACGAAAAGAACGGGTTTTACCGGGTTTAAGCTTTTAAAATCTCATCTCTGATTTGTATTATTTATGATTGCTTTCTGACCGATGAAATGTTTGCTTAACCTAAGGTACTAATGCAAGGAAAGTTATTTCAGAGATATACGCATCTTTTGTATTGCAGTGTACTGTCTTTGGGCGTAAAAGTAAACACAAGACGGATGTCACAGCCTGACATGGAATCCATTTTCACAAAAATAATCTATGAAATATTCTGGTCATTATGTGAATTTTCAAAATTATCAAAATTAAATGCTTTTAACAACCTTGGATACTGAACGAACAATGATGCATCTATCCTTGTTTACAAAGTCCGCCCAGAGAGAACTGGATTCAATATGTACGCAGAGTATAGGCGACCGCAATTAACTTTCCTTGCATTATAACCTTGGCTTAACCTAAGATAAATCTGGAATTGACTGGTTTTACACAATATGCATCGGTTACCCTCCCTTGACCCTTGGACGCTTAATTACACTCTGGATTCTGACTATTTGAATACATATAGAAATTATGGAGAGCCTAGAAATGCCAAAAAAAGATTTTGATTTCCTTTATTCTGAGACAATATCAAGATAAAATGTTCATATTTCACTTTCTAAATTTTAATGGTGGGGGAGGGGGGGGGTGTAACATCCGGAGAGGAATGATTTTAAGATTTTTAGAAAACAAATTTCTCCATAAGTGCATAACAGTGATTCATTGTATTTTTGCTGAATCATCTTGATATTTTAAAGAAGGATACCTTCCGGATTCCGGACATTGAAAATATACCTAATAATTTAAAGGATACAATTGTATTCTTCAAATAAAAAAATCATTCTGTAATTATTACATGTGTTTTGTTTCTGAAACTCATTAAATTGGAAAATTTGAAACGGTTCTTTGGAAAGTTTACTCTCGACCATACACCGTTACATATTTACTTAGTTCAGGCGTAGATAGATATATAGAAAGATAGATAGATATATATAAATATAGATGGATAAAATATCTAGATAGATAGATCGATAGACTAATATCTAGATAGGTAGACAAATATCTAGATAGATAGATAGATAGATAAATAGATAAATAGATATATAGATAAATAGATAGATAGATAGATAGATAGATAGATAGATAGATAGATAGATAGATAGATAGATAGATAGATAAATATATAGCTGGATAGATAGATAGATTAGAGAGGGTGTAAGGAGAGAGTATGGTATGCCAACTGCCTGGAAACTGCCTGAAACAGATTACAACGCCTGCGCTGAGCTGCCTTGCTGCCTAAATGAGAGTTTGACCCAGTAGTGATATTCAGTCTTTGTGTACCATCCATACCATCCATACATAGTACAGGTATACATACCATCCCTACCATCCATACCATTCTTACATAGTACAGGTATACATACCATCCATACCATCCATACATAGTACAGGTATACATACCATCCATACCATCCATACCATCCATACATAGTACAGGTATACATACCATCCATACCATCCATAACATCCATTCCATCCATACCATCCATACCATCCATACCATCTATAACATTCAAACCCACCCCCAATTAAGCTAATGGTGCGTTCTGCAGTACACTGACTGAGGATATAGTAGCCTTTAGTGGACTGTGTACCATTCATGATTAATTCGTTTTAAATTATAATATTTCAGAAATGAGACGCTTTCTAATTGTATCCTGTCTCACAGCTGTAGTCCTCTCTCAAGAGTAAGTATTTTTAAACAAATTTAAAGAACATAAAAACAGAGGTGGGTGGAGGGGGAGGGGCTAAAACATGATAAGACCTTAGTTTTCTTTCATTTACGCTACAATTTTTTACTCATGCTTCTTTGCTTTAACAATGACTAAAATTTTGAAAGACCTTTTTTAACTTTTAAAGCGTTATCAAGTGTTCAAAAGTAGGTATTCATATAAAATATATCTATTAAGATCTTTCCAGGAACCAAAATATTTTCCCGTTTTCGTTGAAATCCTGAATAAAAATTAGAAATTCAAGTGAATTTGAAATGTATTGATAACATTTTTTTGACATATTTAAAATTTTACATTTTTTTGCGTTGACAGATTTTTTGATCCACCCTCATTCCAATAAAAGAACGCTTTTTTCCAAAGAATCAGTTTTGTCAATTACCATTATGTCAACTGGCTTAAATTTACCACAATGTACTGTACATCCTAGTTGAGCACACTTGTTAGATTTTCATACTTTCCGGTCATATTGTTTCCGAACTGTGTACTGCAGTTGCATACTGCATATTGTTGTTTGAAACCAGTTTTCAATTGTAAACAAAATAAGATAAAGACACGTAGACGTACTTTAAAGAAAAATACAAAGGGCAGAGATTATCTTGGGGGGCATTATTGTTATCTAATGATTCTTTAAAATGGACTTTAGGTCTTCTCAGAAATTTAAAAATAAAAAATTCCCGTTTTCATTGGAGACCCCCAGGTTTTCATTGTAGATCCCCAGATTTTCATTTGAAACACCAAACTTTCAGCACGTTTTAAACCCCAAATTTTCATTGGAGACCAACCCAAGATTTTCAATTGAGATCCCAGATTTTCATTGGAGCCACAAGATTTTCATTGAAGATCCTAGACTTTTCTTCGGAGACCCCAAACTTTTCTTTGGAGACTCCAAACTTTTCCCCAGAGACTCTAGATTTCCAATAGAGAACCACAGATTTTTATTGGAGACCCCGAGCTTTTCATCTGAGACCCAAGATTTTAGTGGAGAAACCCCTGATTTTTATTGGAGACCCCGAGCTTTCCTTCTGAGACCCAAGATTTTTAGGGAGAAACCCCAAGATGTTCATCGGAGACCCAAATTTTCACAGTTTGAGGTCTCCACTGAAAATCTGAGGGTTTCAAATGAAATCGGGGGTTCAAAAAACTAAAATTTTGGAGTCTCCGATGAAAATATTTAGGTTTCCAATGTAAAGATTTGGGTCTTCAATGAAAAGTTTGTGGTCTCCAACAAAAATCTGGGGATCTCCAATTAAAATCTGGGAATTTCCGATGAAAATATTGGGGTCTCTGATGAAAATATTGGGGTCTCTGATGAAAATCTGGGGGTCTCTGATGAAAATCTGGGGGTCTAAGATGAGACAGTCATGGGGGTCTCTGATGAGACAGTCATGAAAGGGGGTCTCTGTAGTACTCCAATGATGAATATTTCATCTTAGACTCCCACATTGGCCTTTTCAAGAAAAATGATAAACGGAAATTTACAGGCCATAAACACGTAATTACAGTCGCAAAAATATATTTAAATTTTCAACTTTAAACAATGTGAAAATTCAGACACATAGAAAACATGAAAAATTTCCGGTCAGTTTTTATTTAAATCTTTCTTTAAAAAAAACTGTCCATTTATGCATCTAAAAAATGTATATTGTATTTTGTTAACGCAATTTGTATTAAAAAGTCAAATCAAAATTACTAAAAATTTCAAAAGTGTTCCTAACTGTTCAGCGTACATATTTGGGCCAGTTGACATAATGGTAATTGGGCTTTTTTATGATAAAATTAAGATAAAGAAAGAATGAAACAATAAAATTGAGAGTAAAATCAAAATTAAAGAAAGAGAAAATGAAATAAAAGAAAGAAATTAAGTTATAAAGAAAAGATACAGAGAAAGATGGATAGATATACACAAGGTACTAATGCAAAGTTATTTCTGAGGTGTACGCATTTTTTGTACTGCAGTGTACTGTCTTTGGGCGGAAATGTAAACACAAGACGGATGTCACAGCCTGACATAGAATCATTTTTCACAAAAATAATCTATGAAATATTCTATTCATAGGAAATTATTATATGAATTATCAAAATTATCAAAATTAAATGCTTTTAACCTCCCCGGATACCAGACGAACACTGATGCATCTATTCTTGTTTACAAATTCCGCCCAGAGAGAACTGGTTTCAATATGTACGCAGAGTATACGCAACCGCAATTAACTTTCCTTGCATTAGTACCTTGGATAGACATAGCCTTCATAATTACCACATATATACACGCCGAAATTGCACGCAAAACATTAATCCCATCCAACCGAAACACCAACGCACAATGATCAATTTGTGTGAAATAAGTAAATCCTAGACGCAATGACCCGTTACTAAAAATATTGTCGTGTAGAAAGTTTATCCTTGGTAAAATTTTGACACAGCTTAATATAAGATTTTCGAGACAGGAACATCGATCAACTCCTAAAATTCTCAGGTGTCAGTCTATACCCCCTTTAATATTTCCTTTACAGTCCCTTTGAATTTCATTTTTAAATGTTCTAAAACATTGTGTTATTTAGTTAATTATTAAAAGAGAACTAATAGAAAAACATATGTTCATATATTCTCAATTTTGAATAACATTCTCAATTATTCTTTCAGAAACCTTTCTTTTCGTTCTGATGGAGGTATGAAAAATTCTAATTTGGACCAAAAAATTCATCGCTTTGCTCGCGACGCAGATTCCCAGCTTGCATTTTTATCATTTGCGATGGCACTTCTCAACACGATTGTGAACATAATATCGGCTGTCAACAATAATAACAACAACAATAACAACAACAACAATAACAATGACAACAATAACAACAATATGAATTCTAACATGAATAATGTAATGAGCATGTAAGAAAATTCAATACGTAGCCTTCAAAATCTATCTTACCAATGGATTTTAAATAGGGTTTTCAATAGGAATTTTGTTGCGCGGAATTGCGCGCAACTGTTCTCGTATTGCGCACAATTGTGCGGAATTAAGCACAAGTAAAATTCAATTGCGTTGGAAACCCTTATTCTATAGCATTACAGATTAATTGTTTTAGAACTGGAGCGTTTTTTGTTTCTTAATAACGTAAAATTGAAGTTTAATTGAAATTTTTCAAAGTTTAGACCCAAGAAATGTTTTTTTTTCTAAAAATTGTTTGGATGAATGAAACTTAAAAAATAATCAGAAAATTCAATTTGTTACGTTAAATTAACTTGTGCCGTTAACTAAAACATAAGCATAAGAATTTGGATTGGAAATTTCAACAAAAAACTTATGATTTCTGTCAAGTGCCTAATTAAAGGGAAAGTTCCTTAAAACGAGTATTGTTAGTTGGCTCAGATTTATACTCTTTTTGTTAAAGGGGCTGTAGACGGAATTTCAATTAACCCTCTATTCATAAGGAGAAAGAAATTGCCAGAATTTATCACTTTTTTTAGATAAGCAAATAATGTTTGTTGTATAAATGAAATTTCCTTTACCATGGTATTTAATTATTAGGAATGGTCGCAGCATAGATAAACTTGATAAACTTGACATGATTAAACCTCTTGATGAACCGGAAAACAACCTGATAGATTATCAACCTGAAAACCAATCCATCCTTGCCAGGTATGTTGTTCTTACTGTAAGGCTGAGAACAATTGAAAGCTATCTGACTAAATCATGAGTTGATCCTTGCCAAAAATCCAGTTCTTTTTGTTACCCACAAAGGATGAGACTTCAGAGAAGACTGTACGGAATTTTGACTGGTTGTTTCCTTATACTAATGATCTCCTGCAACTGTAAACTTCTTCCTTTTTTTGTCCTATCATTAAATTAGTCCTTACAAGACTATATCTAAGGCAGAAGATTTATTTCAACCATGATATCATCATAGTTCATAAGTTTCAGTTCGTTTTTATTTTCGCATCCCAAGCCTTAATATAGAGAAAATTTACCAATCAAAACTCTGATATATCTGCTTTTGAAGTACCATTCCGACTTCTAGGCAAAACAAATCAATTTGTACAATATTACGTGTTAGCCTGGTATGGTTTTGTAAATACAATAGGTGGGCTGGGTTAGGCAGGATGGGCTGCAGCATTAATATTCTATGTACATAACATATACAAAGATGGTATAATGTACATCTTAAGAAATCCGCGACCATAAATGAAATTTGTTCCAGAATTATCGGTGAGGACGCAGAGGCCAGAATAGTGGACAGTGTTACAACATGGGCTACTGATAAGGTTAGTTTAGTGTACTGTACATACTGTACAAACTTTACAAACTGTACCTACTGTAAATACTGTACATACTGTAGATACTATACATACTGTAACTACTGAACATACTGTACATACTGTACATAATGTACATAATACACGTACAGTACATACTGTACATACTGTACATACTGTAAAAACTGAGAATACTTGTATACATTATGTACAAATAATGTACATTTAGTACATACATTCATACATTTCAGCCAATTTGGTCGAGCCGTTTGGCCAGCTACAGCTAATATATAAATATTCATATATAAAATAAATAAAATAAAGAAACCCTTGCGGTATTTCTTTATTTATTAACTCTCTCTGTACTTTGTACGTAAAGTGTATAATTTCTAAAAAAACCTGTTGTCACGTTTTTACAACAGGTTTCCAGCCCCCGCCATTAATATTGGATTTCTCTCTGCCATTTCTAATATGACAACCAAATATTTTACTTTTACTTAAACGGGACTGTGAACCAAGTTTCAACTGGATATTTACCCAAATCCATACATGCCTTCTATCGGATAAACAAGATGAATACGATGTCTACGTTTTTGTGTTTTAAAAAGATATAAAAAAATTTTTCATATCCAATTGTCTCTCACTGCTGCATAAAGTTTACAGCAATTCTATCGAGAAAGTACAATTGTATTATCAGTTTTTTTCTTTTAATTAAGAGTTAGTTGAAATAAAACAATCAATTCTTGGAACATATTCTATGTTTAAGAGAAAGATGAGATAGAAGAAAGAACAACTGTTCCTAATTATATATCTTATAAGTAACCTAACCTCATCTTTTCATGTCAAGGATCTTAACAATTAATTACTAAACATATGTTAAATATATTTCAAAAATTTAATAATTTAAGAAAACTAAGAATATTTAAATTTTCTTCAAAAGTTATGACTCATAGTTAAAAATTAAAAGAATAAATGTTTTTAGTGATATTGATGCGAATAAAAATATCCCACAATCCAAAGATAATTTAGAGCTCAAAGGAACTGAGCTCTTGTCACAAACTCTGATTTTTGTAATTCGTAAAATCCAAGGCTGTACAATATTATATTATATTGTATTATACAACCTTGTTTCAATCCAAGATTGTATAATATTATATTATATTGTATTATACAACCTTGTTTCAATCCAAGATTGTATAATATTATATTATATTGTATAATACAACCTTGTTTCAATCCAAGCTTGTATAATATTATATTATATTGTATTATACAACCTTGTTTTAATCCAAGGTTGTAAAATATTATATTTTATTGTATTATATACAACTGTGTTTCAATCCAAGTTTATATAATATTATATTATATTGTATTATACAACCTTTTTTCAATCCTGTTTGTATTATATTATATTATATTGTATTATACAACCTTGTTTTAATCCAAGTTTGAATAATAATATTCATATTATATTGTATTATACAACCTTGTTTCAATCCAAGTTTGTATAATAATATTCTATATTGTATTATATACAACCTTGTTTCAATCCAAGCTTGTATAATATTATATTATATTGTATTATACAACCTTGTTTTAATCCAAGTTTGTATAATAATATTCTATATTGTATTATATACAACCTTTTTTCAATCCAAGCTTGTATAATATTATATATTATATTATATTGTATTATACAACCTTTTTTCAATCCTGTTTGTATTATATTATATTATATTGTATTATACAACCTTGTATTATATTGTATTATACAACCTTGTTTCAATCCAAGGTTGTATAATATTATATTATATTGTATTATACAACCTTGTTTCAATCCAAGTTTGTATAATATTATATTATATTGTATTATACAACCTTGTTTCAATCCAAGGTTGTATAATATTATATTATATTGTATTATACAACCTTGTTTAAATCTAACATGAAATTCTAATTGGCGTGACTTACTTTACTCTAGTCAGAAAAAATTGTTGTATAATATTATATTATATTGTATTATACAACCTTGTTTAAATCTAACATGAAATTCTAATTGGCGTGACTTACTTTACTCTAGTCAGAAAAAATTGAACAATAATTAAATAATAATTCCTTTAACATAGCTCAAATATATGAACACTCCCTTTGGAAACCTCAAAATGATCTAGAGTGAGGAAAATAGCTGACTGAAAAGTGTTTAATTCTGATAATTCCTCCTGGTTATGACACAAGAAATGCGCTAGTCACTTTTCCAGAAAACCCACAAGGGAAAATTTTCAAAGAAAAACATGAATACTTTATCAAAAAAAAAGTTTTTAAGGATATCGTTTCGAATCGAATATTGAGTTCCTTGAAATTCCAATTACAGTGCCTTTAAAAACTTATGTCAAATCCCTTAAAAATCTAGATTTATTTTAGGCTATAAAGAATCCTGGCTGTGTGAAAAGATTTGTTTGTGAAACCTATAGAACTGGAGAAACCTTGTCAGGAATACCTTATGTACTCATGGCGATAACAAAGTAATTATAATATTATAATTATAATAATAATAATAATAATCCCAATAATAA